TAAATTCTGGAGGCGTGGTGTTGGGGGGCGGTGGAGTAGGGTGGTTAGGCTCAGTGGGAAGGGATCAGCTAGAGGCCTCATTCTTTAGAGCAGGGGAAAGTCAGGCCACAAACTAATGTCGACAGGATGTTGGCTGAGTCAGTTACTAGGCTCATCTTTTTTCTGCCTCTATTTATTCCTATGAAAAATATGTGTATCTTCTACTTCATAGAAGAAGCTAGAGACCGATTTTATAAGTTGCTCTGCATTCCAGGGAGAAAGCTGTTGAACAGCTTCCTTGGGCATCTTTGACAAGGAAGAATGTGATTTTAATGGGACTCCTTTCATCCTTCCAAACAAGACTTGAATGACTAGAGATTGCTGCTTTTTTTGTTCAGCACATCCAATCTGTGGTCAGATCTTTTGGATTTCTCGCAGTTCTCTAGTTCTCCTTTTGCACTGTATAGGCACTGGATTCATCTCACCCCCTCAGCGTCCCTGAGTAATAGCAGTCTCTCCTCCACGGCAGTGGCTTCTGCATGGGCACGCCGAAGTTGGTCATTGTTGCCTCTTCCACCCATCGCACTCTGGCCATGCCGCTCCTTGCGTATACTCTAGGGTAGCTTCCTATTGGAGTGTGCTGAATAACTTCCTGGCAAAGTTATACAGCAGGTGTGCAGCTGCAAGAATTACTACTATCTTTATTAACACAAAATACTTCCTGGAAGAGTGGGATTGGGCTCTGGCTCCGGATTAGTCCAGAAGTTGGCAGTTTCTTCATTGGATCATTGTCCATTCCCTTTCAGTATTCTCTGGGAATGACTATAGCATCTTCCACAGTCATCAAAAACCATCATAGCATTGCCACACTCATCAAAAACTGTTTCTAAATTCAAAAAAAGCATCTGACATCCCAACTTCTTCCAGAAGTATTTGTGTTTAATTAAACATAGGTAGCATTCCTTGCAGGCTACACACACCTGCTGTACATTTTGCCAGGAAGGCATTCGGCACACTCAAGTGCATCTTTCAATCTGACTTTGTTCTATGTGTGTACTGACAACTTTCATTCACTCTGCAGTGCAGAT